AATTCTGGGAGTTGAAGTCCACCCATCTTCCAGCTGCCAAGGTTGAGAAACACTGCTCTAATGACTGACAGGGACTATGCCAGGATTTAACCCCTATGCACATAGGGGTTTAAATTAATTCAAATGGATTTTCCCCCTCCTTTCCCTTCATTTTATTATTTCAGTGCAATGTAGTGACTAAAGACTAATTAACATAAATAATAAACATCTTATTATACGGATATGCTAACCATGATTATTCAAAGAATGTAATGCATAATAGGGATTCAAATGGATTAAGGTGGGTTTATTTTTTAGTTTGGGGGGCAAGGTCACCCCTAAACTATCATGAGCAGAAATAATAAAAAAGCCTATTCTTTGAACAATTAATGCTAAGGATATGCATTATGCCAAGTTAATAATACATAATTGGGATTAAAATGAATCAAAATGGATTTTCCCCTTGCTTTTGTTTATTGTTTAGTAAAATGCAATGTGGTGAGCAGAAAGAATAAAAATGCCCATTATTGTAATGACAGAGAGAATATACAGTGATTATATAAATTCATACATACAGTAATAGGGATTTAAATGTATTTTTCCCTTTTTATTTATTTTTCAGTAAAGTGTAATGTAATGACTAAAGTATAGTGAGCAGGAATAATAACATGCATATTAGTTTAATGATATACAGTGATTATACCAAGTAAATAATCCATAATAGGGATTAAAATGGATTTTCCCCTTCCTTTTCATTTGCTGCTTTTTTTAGTTCGGTGCAATGTAGCAACTAAAACAATATGCCCAACTAATAAAAAAGCATATCGAAATAATGATGTGGTGAATATACGGTGATTATACCAAGTAAATAACACATAATAGGGATTAAAATGAATTAAAATGGATTTTTCCCTTCCTTTTCATTTGCTGCTTTTTTAGTTGGGTGCAACATAGCGACTAAAACATAAATACACACAACTAATAAAAAGGCATATCAGTATAATGATGTGGTAAATATACGGTGATTATACCAAAAAATTAGTGATTCGAAAGAACTACAACGGAAGAAAAAAATGGATCCATTTAATATTAATTAATTGGGAACGCGGTCCTTTAACAGTTTATTAAATCTAGTCCATAGAGATACGTACATATTTCAACAAGACAGTGTCCTTTTTACTATCTTATTAACTAAGTGATATGCTTTGGTGACATGTGACAACCGCAGTATAATAAATACAAAAATAATAATGCACAGTTATATAATAATGTAAATATGCAGTGATCATGCAGTGAGAAAATGAATTAGTACATTACAGTGATTCAAGTGAGCTAATCCAGGAGGAAAAAGAGGGATCCATAAAATATTAATTACTATAGACCTGGCTTAGTCCATTAATAACTATGTTTTTATAGGGCACAGTCCTTTTTAAAAGGAGCGCCCAGTGAGGATTTGGACGGGAGGCCAT